TGTTGACTGCGTGAATGTTTACTAATCGGGGATTACGCAGCTGCATTGGCGATGACGACAAATGTGGATTTTCTTATTGAATTCTTTGACATAGGGAAGCTAGACATCATATGGGAACATTAATTAGTTTTTAGAAAGGCTTCTATCAGTTTTGAGTGAGGAGTTTTTGTTTGGGAAGAAGCTTATTGCGGACTAGAGCCATTTCTAAAATGGGAAAAAAACTATTTAAAACTGGGCCCCTGCCAATTCCTTTGACAAATTCCCATCGAAAATTCTCCATCATGAAAGTCCTTACTCCATATGGATTCTTTTCCTGTCGTAGCCGTCAGGAATACAAACCATGTCCGAATGAATATTCATCACCGAAGCTTTGACTCATACCATTTACAAAGACCACATACCAGCAATTCCAATTTTTCGTACCCGTCCCATCCACTTCCCACTTCTTTTTCTTCAAACAAAGAATAAAAACATGTTTCCATCTGCGAGTGCACCAGCTGTGTTCGTCGTTCAGCTGTTTGTCCTTGGTTAGCTTGTGCTTTTGCGCAGTTACAGCCATTTCTCGTATTCTGAGTGCTTGAACTAAAGAAAATTCACTTTTTTCTCTAAAAAAGAATTTGCCTTCTCCACCCCCCCCCCAAATTTTTCGGAAATTTGTAGCCGTAGGCAATTCGCTTCATTTTGCTATTGAGCTAGTCAATTCGAACATAGCAAAACTTCCTAATGCACTTAATGTTTACGTCGAGCTTCAATGGCCAGAAAGCAAGCCATTGCTGGCGGGAGCTCCGCTCCCCCCTCCTCCAGTAAACTCTAGGCTGAGCTCTTCTGGAACATCATTCTTCAAGAGACGTTTTTCACTAGCAAAATGTTTTAATGAGCTCGAAAAGAGCCCATTTTTTACTATCAAAGTCCACTGAAATCAAATCTGAGAAGCAATCATGGATTTTCTTCATTATCTCTTCTTTTATAGTTTTTACATTTTTTGCACATTTACAACGTCTTGGATTATCACTTCAGACGTTTTTGGCTACTCTAGCAAAATGTATTTTTTAAGGCAAAAATTATATTAAATTAGTAGTTTCCAAATGTAGTTTGGAATTTTTGTTTGTAGCATTCTGGGGCAACGTCGAGGCTAGCCGGGGATGGAGGAGGTTTTTGGTGGGATAGACATAAAATCATAAATCTCTTACCACTTTAGGCCTTTGAAGAAGACGAATAGCTCGAAACGTTAGGCCGCCACTTACTAATAAATAGTAACCTCGATTGACTTACTAATCTACTCACAACATATTTCAAATTGATTTCTGAAATCGAAATATGCTCCTTTCAAGTATGGGCTTTTTTCATTGTTTCTATCTTTTATAGTCTTTCTCACTTTTTTCCTAGCATGAATTCTGGAGATTTATGAGATTTTCCACGCGGATAACTCGCCCGCGAGAATTTTCAGATTTTCAATCATCTTTGAAGCTCAAGACACATTGTTCTAATTCTTTTTCCTTCTATTATACTCCTAAATGAATCTTTCCGCATGTTCAACAGTTCAAAAACAGCTTTTGTTAAGTACTTGTGAACTACAAAAAAAACTCTGAACTAGCAGAGGTAGGTAAAGAACTTAGATGTTAAATGAGTATCAAGTGAAATCCCCTTATCTAACTCTAATTTCGAGGTTCGAAAAATCGGATACATTTCTCGCAATCAGTCATAGGGGGTCTTTCACAGGCAGACTAAGTTTCATATGTATTATGATCTCAAAGTTTGCTCCTAGTTCTTTTCCTACCATTCTCCTAGAAAATTAGAAGCTAGAAAATTTACCGCTTTTCCGTCAGATCTCTGTCACCTAGTATAAAAGTACATGGTCCTCTAATGAACTTTTCGGGTATTCGCTTCAATGTTTTTCTTCGCTTAGATGCATTTTTTCATTGACAGACGGATATTGCTTCACCCGCAAAGGCTTTTGAGTGCGCCGCTATTGATCCAGGTCGGAAGCGTTTGCTCATTGCTATTCGCTTGTTGGTCTATATTGTGCTTCGGTGAATTAATTATTTAATGGAAAAATCTGGCATTACCCATAAAATTGCTCTCCTGTTATTACTGAATTTCTTTTCTTGACTTTTTGAAGCTTAAAAAATTCAATTCCATCTTATAGTCTGCAATTCATTTGTGATGTTTGCGACATGCAACCTTTTACCAGCATCGTCACAATTAGCTTGTTCGAAATTTCCCAAAATTAGCTTTTTAACTTTGTTCACATTGTCTTTTGTAAAGGAAAATGTACTATATTCATTTCATAGCGCTAATACTACGGAACTTTGGGAAACGTTCCATCAACATGCAATATTTGAATTTGTAAACCTGGGGATACATCGCTGAGGGCAAGTAAATTACAGTTCGTTCTCTAGTAGGTGTTCTGAAGTAATTTGGTACAAACATTGCATCAGCCAACAAAGTATAAATATCCGATTGTGGATCGTTGGGATGTAATTCCACTGGCAAGCTAGTTGTGGTCAACTTATTCTAAAACTTTTGAAGTAATTGCTATTTATGTTCGTTTTGCCTTCATAAAGGCTATGTTTTCGCAATACCAACGCCTTTCGATTCTGTTGGTAGAATCATTTCTTTAAAATTACCATCAAAATTCGTTGTAATTCTCGTAAGATTTGCTTGGTTTGCCAAGGGACTTTCGGTCAGCATTTAAGCCAGCTACAATCGTTAGATCTAAATACCATTCTGAAAAATATTCAAATATGATGAATGGTTTTCCTTGTATAGATCTTTTCTGAATCCGTGTTCATTCTTTCCGTCTTTAATTGATTATATCTGCTGAACAAATGTCTGTTAATTTTTATACGAGTGTAAAAAATGAGTAATTAAAACCCATAAACTGAAAACCAAACTATTGTATCTAGAAAAAACTTATGAATCTTAGATTCTGTAGTTACACGCGATCTCACGAGTGTACGCGCCGAGTCCCTTGGTGTACCCAAACCCAGACATTGCGTGATGTAATCGGTGATCACAGGGTGATGCTTGCACGTCATTTTTCTCACATTGTGGTCATCTGACACAAAAAACACGTGGTTTGCTAGGAGGAAGTCATGCTATGGGTAGTATAAGTAATTTTTTTCAAAACAGGTCTTCATTGTTTTTTCGGAAGTTGTCCTTATGCATTGTACAAATTCTGTTATCTCATAACCATCAAATCGAGAGCGAATTAAATATAGACAGATCAAACCACCTTATTTCACACTTTCTAAACCTTTGAGGTACACTCAATACTTGATACCTTCTCAATAAGTGAAAAAAAAGCTTGAAAAAAATGCCATTGCGCAGATTTGTAAGTTTAATAATATAGTATATAGTTTTATGATCTTAATTTTCGATTTTTTTGCTCCCCGTCAACTTGCCCTCTGAAATGATCCGACTACCGTTCCTATGGTAAAATCGTTCAGGTACCTTCCTGAAACTTTTCACTCAAAAGCTTTGCTTGTATTTTTCTTTTGGATTTTTCTAGAAAATTTACGAGAACGGCGGCAGTAATCATCTTACTTATGATGTATCCAGCAATGTATTAGATTGCCCCAAAAATGAACACCCTTTTCTAAATTTAGGCTGTTTTTGATTTCCTAGTAGACATAGGGTGACATTCGATAGAGTGAAGCAAGCTTTAAAAATGGCCACCAAAGATTCGCCGGAGTCGTTATCCACCTAAAGAGAGAAAGTTTTCAGACACTCGCTTTGGTTCCTTCCCTTAGACGGAGTAAAGGAGCTTAGAACTCTCCCTGGAACTCTTCAGTAAGGAATGAGACTTAAGAATCCTGCGTATATTTCACATTTTATATTAGGTCATATTTTTGGTTTCTATTATTTTATATTATATTCTTTGTATTATATTTTATTTTTCATACATTTCATACTTTATTTTATTTCATATTTTTTTTAAATTCATTGGCAAAATTCAAATTTTTGAGCCACACAAAAACCGGATCTCTCTCTTTAGAAAATTCCAACAAACCTCCAACCTGGTCTCTACACAGTGTACACTTAGAATTATCCATAAATGCATGTGCTAGATTTTTCGTGCGTGAAAATCAAGAGAAAAAGGTAATCAAAAATAGCAGACTCCGCCCCAGCTACTCTCACATATGTGGTTGTATACTGTAAGCCTTATGAGATATGCTCTTGAAATCATATCTCTGTATGTGCTCTGATAATCGACAAGAATCAAATTTATCATGTGTGAAAAATGAGTGTGAAAGAATGTAAAAAGGGACATTTTCGGGCAATTTTTAAAATCAAATTTGGGCTTCGAAAGAACCCACAAATGTACTTTCAAGTACTGCTACGGTCTACTGTATGATGACCAAGTTGGAGATCCGAAATTCGCTGGGAGGAGACTCGATTTTTAGGATAGTTAGAGAGTTCTAATTTTTTGGCTCGAAAATTCACTTGGATTACGTTGTTCTGACGAATGGTCCTCTAGGTCTGTAAGGAAAACAAAAACAGTTTAATTAGGGGTTTACTGTACAAAATAATATTTTGATTCTGTATCCTTCCCTTTTATTTAGATCCTACCCTCAGTTTCTTCTTGGGTCTTACATCCACCAATTTTATATAAAAATAACTAAATATTTGAACTATCTGTACAATATCCGCATGGCCTAGAGCTACTGAGAATTCCAAGGAAAAACTTCCAGCAATGTCGATATCAAGCAAACATACGATTCTCAAACATGGCAACGAAATCAAACTGGGACAGCATAACATCGTGTAGTGAATTCGGCGAATGTTGTTGTTTACACATATAATCATCTTTTTCGTTCGCATCTCACAATACTTCCTTTTCGAGCCACTCTTTCTTTCCAGCAACTCGCTTGTTCGTGTAGATTATGCATTATTTGTGGAATCGTCGATCTTTATGCCCATTTCAAGTTCTTTCTGGGCTCTTTCGTTTGCTTTTAACGCTTGTGTCTGTTCTATGTACACGTTTTGTGCATGAATATGGTACGAAATCTGTTTAGGGTATCTCATTTTAGTAAAATGGCTGCTGAAGTCCGACGAGATTCATTCAAGACATTTTGGGACAAGTACTCGGATAAACCCGACACCAGTTCGATGATGCTCAATCAAACTGCACATGATCTCGAAGCAAGCGACAGGTTGGTTCAGAAAAAGTTTGGAAATGTTTGGAGGTCAAAGTTGGGTTTCAGAGCTGATATTCTCTCAAGCTTACCACTGTTGGAAAACAAGGATGTTGTCGACATAGGAGCCGGAATTGGGTAATTCAACTAATGTTCATTGCATTTATAGCAAATTCAAAAACATTAAAATTCCCTAGAAAGAACCTCACGCACCTATCCCCCCTCCCCCTCCCCCACCATCATAACACTAATACATGTAACTAATATGTGCTTCATGCGAATGCAGTACAGATAAACAATCGAAAGTAAGTTAAACGTTCTCTCTTCTCTGAACCTGGGCATTTGGACTGATGTTATTAGTTGTCATATGATATTATGCCAGTGCCAGGTTTGTACGGTGGAATGTTTTATTGGCCTTACGTTTCGACAAAATCGTCTTCGTCGGAGGCCTGAAAGTAGATTGCAGTGTTATCTGTGGGACCAGACCGCCAAACGCCTCCCCGCACTGCCGAGTCTAGACCACGCTCTGAACTCAACATACAGGGGCATGTCGACCAGAAGACGCACCTTTATCCACCGTGGTGTTAGTGAGAGTCAGTAGAGTCAGTACTTAGTCGCACCGAAGAGACAGACGACACTAAGTGCTGTCCTATGATCGTCACTTATATATGTGCAGACTATCGCTCACAGATCGTTAAGATAGGCAAAAGTTCGGCTGTTATTGATACACATTCATTTTTGTTGTTCAAGCTAGGATTTCGAAGGGAAATCCACGCTGCCTCAACGGTTTTCCTCACTGTAATCTCTGCCTCATATGACAAAATAGTGCACTTAACGTCAAATTCACCGCCGTTGTGCGTTTCAATTCTGTGTCTTCCCAACGGCGACATTGCATTTGCTCGTCTTTTTGCCGCCAGATGCTCCTTAAGTCTAACATTCAGCAATCTACCCGTTTCTCCGATATATGTCGCCTTGCAGTTCAAGCACTCCAATTCATACACTACTCCCGCTTTCGCGCAATCACCTACTTTTCCGTATGGGCAGACAATACATTGCTCTGATAGACATTCTGCGTCATAGAGCCTGTTCCTTACCAACTGCTTCTTGATGTTCTCGTTCGGAATGTTCACAAGCATAATATCATTTTGCAGTTGTGCTCGCCTTATACATTTTTTTATTGCTGCACTGAACTTATCGGAAATGAAAGGCATACACAAGGGCACCTTGTTATCCTGAGCGTGGCTACTGTTCGCAAACTTGGAAGCGCAGCTTAAACGTTGTGGCAAGTAACCATTGCTACGCGCAATTTGTGTAGCCAGTCTTACGGACTCGAGTCGTTCTTGCTCACCTGTGCATACACTTATAGCAGTTCGATACATATTGCGCACAACGGCTCGTTTCATTGTGATTGGGTGCGCTGAATTGGCATGTAGCAGTATATTCTTTGAACTTTCCTTTCGGTACCATTTTATGCGAATGGTGTCACCAGATAGATTTATCTGGGTATTTAGAAAGGGAAGCCATCCGTTTTTCGGGGTTTCTCTTGTAAACGTTATGTACCGCGACTGCTGGTTTAGGATTCGGAAGCATTCGTCCATTTCGGACTGCGTCGATGTTATAACGCAGCAGTCGTCGATGTAACGGCGGTACATCAACGGCAAGCGTGCAAGAACTGGTGCCTCGATCTTGCTCATGAAACAAATCGCAAGGATTGGGGCCAGACGTTGTCCCATGCGTTTGGCGGTCTGGTCCCACAGATAACACTGCAATCTACTTTCAGGCCTCCGACGAAGACGATTTTGTCGAAACGTAAGGCCAATAAAACATTCCACCGTACAAACCTGGCACTGGCATAATATCATATGACAATCGAAAGTAACTTAACCAATCAGTGCTGAAGAACCGGGCATACTTCACGCGATTTCAGTTGCGAGGCGATTTGGCAATAATTCAACCGTCCGTAACTCATTGTAGGCACATTTTAAATGTACAGAAGATAGGGCATTTCATCAATCTACGTGAGTTACACATACTATGCATGTGCAGTTTGCTAGTGTTGGATCCGAAGGGTTATGGCAAATTACCAAATCGCGTCGCGACTGAAATCGCGTGAAGTACATATGCCCGACCCTTAAGGCTAAAATCTGGAAAATGGCAGACTCCGCCCCTTTATTCTGAGCTCCTCCCACATGCATGCATAGTTACATCCTGTGCCGTATAGATGCGGAATTTTAATCTTATGTATCTACATATATGCTTCACGGGGGGGGGGGAGTGAATGTTTTTCTGTTAGTAATTAAAATGATATCTTAGATTTAATAAATCCTAGTTAAAATCTGCCACACATTTTTTTCGAAGCGCTGTTTCGCACAGAAATTTTGGAGGTCTTGGCATGATGATTTCTTGTTCTTCCTCCCCCCCCCCCTCTTTCCCCTCCCCTTCCCAATTCCACCTTTCCGTTCACTGTGGAATGGAAATGTTTCTCCAAGCTAAACTTTTAATGACTCAGTACATCTGGAATTCTTTATAGAAGTCTCCACACGCACAATAAAGGGGTCTCTTTGCTATATTATAATTAATTAGTAAAATTATAGGCGCTTCACAACAGTGCTCGCTGAGACAGCCCGATGGGTACATTCCACCGACTTCATTGAATCTTTCATCGCTAAAAATCAAGAGAGAAACGCCCATCTTGGAAATATCAGCTACCAAATTGGTGATGCTGTTCATTTACAAATGGAAGAGAAGAGGTATAGGACCCTCTTTTTGTTCCTCAACGAATTTGTGTTTTTACAGCGTGGATCTGGTATTCACCAACTGGTTGATGATGTATCTATCGGACCGCGAGGTGATCGAGTTCTTATTCAATGCTATGAGATGGCTACGAGCCGATGGTTATCTACATCTTAGGGAAAGCTGCTCAGAGCCAAGCACTGGTAACTTTTTGAACATCATTTTGTGTTTTATACCGTTTATCTCTACCGTATTCATTCAAGGTCGTGCAAAACACGCATCTCTGCATTCGAATGCGGAATCTAACCCAACACATTACCGGTTTTCTTCTCTATACATCAAGGTAAGTCTTCATTCTTTTCATAAACTTTTTCATGAAAATGGACATCAAATAGGGTATATCCTCAGTTTACAGACATCGTTTTCTCATTAAGCTTCTTCGTGCAATAAGATATCGTGACAACTCCGGTAAATTATGGCGATTTGAAGTGCTGTGGAGCTGCTCTGTGCCCACATACATTAGGGTAAGAAGGCTCAGGTTGAAAAAAAAAAGAAAAAAGAAAAATAGGGTTGTTAAGCGGTCAAACAACTGGCGGCAAGTGCATTGGTTGACGAAGAAAATTCCAGCCGATGGCGATAAGGAGACTCAGGCTAGCGAGTTGCTCAAGCTTTTCAGGTTAGGATTTCACTTATCCTCATATTGAAGTTTTTTCAGTTGTGAAAAAACTGTGTGCCTTGGTTTTTTAATGTGAAATTGATTCGGGAAGGACTGACTAATTTGTAGCCCAAACAGCAGCTCATAAGATTTCTTCCTACCTGAAAACGCCAACCGTAAGCGCTCGCCCACTACCGTACACGAGCTAGCCACACTAAATAGTCCGCTTTGAAGAGTTACGGTACTGGGCGAGAGTCATGATCTCATTACGTGAGCTCATCGGGGCTTTTTAAACTCCGCATACAAAAACAGGTACACAGATCTTATCAGATCAGATATGTATCAGATCCAGACCACCCTCCAGTAATCTTATATTGCCCAATAAATTCATAAACTTTTATGTTTTCCATAAAAGGATAAATGAGTTTTTCTTCAAACTCCATGTCGTTTAACTAGGAAAACTTCATTTCAGTGAAACATGGCATGCTGAACAAGTAGAATGGGATAGAAAGCTCGACAATGAGAAATGCGTTTGGACCGACAAAGTTTGTTCTTCTCATATCAAAGCTGAAGATAATTAAAAAAATCAAGAATGAAAATCTTAGATATTTTCGTATACTTCAGAAAATGTTATTAAATAAGTTTTTTATATATCGAAAAATGTCAATCTTATTTGATACACGCTATGACAGATGTTAGAGACTTCTTCACCCTTTTGAATCAATATTTTTTTCAGATTTTTTCAAATGTTCTCAATAACGAAATGGTACCTCAGAACGGGACCGCTTATGTGTATACTCCTAGACGCAGATCGCCTTATCTACATATCAACTCCCATTTGTTAGCTGAGGTTCACAAAGCTTCATCTTTGTCTAAATACTTTTTAAACCTCAGCGTCCATGTTTAGAAGTTTTCTTGCAATGTTTGGAATGTGGAATTGAATGAAAACTTCTATAGGACGTCACTCACAAAGGCGAACAATACAAAGAATCAACGAGTAAGGTGAGCTTGCAAAAAAAAGCAATCAAATTATTGGATGTTAAATAAAATTGTAAGAGAATGATCAAAGGTATTAATATTAACCTAGCTCTTTTCGCCAGAATGGAGGTAAAATCAGAAAGTAAGGGTAGTAGAGTCCAAACAGAGTTTCACTCTCCATAGGCAGTACGAGCCGAACTTTTCAGATCCCTTATAGCTCGCACTGTTTTCATGATCTGTTTGAAGTTATAGCAGCAGTAGTCTAATAAAGAATCGCTAGCTCAATTCAAAAATCTTCCAACAGCGGGAAACCGTGGCGGGTCCCAAAGCGAAATCTATCAGCTCTAGCACCTTTAGATTACTGCTTCAGTAGTTCATAATAAAGTATGAAGATTATGGTAAAGTGCCTCTAGATGATCAAATTGTCTAACCTTTGTTTCAACTGGTTTGGTGGCTGGAAGGCGGGGCTTTGTGACCTAATTAAGGCCTCCTGCGCCCGCGATACAGTCTGCGTCTCTCTCTCTGACTATTCTCAAGCCTTAACTAGGTCACGAAGCCCCACCTTCAATCAAAGGGTATATGGAGATAGATATAAATTTAAAAAATTTCTAGATTTGGAATATATCGCATTTGTATGCAGCTCTAAATAACTTCCAAATGTATATGCAGATGTTATATGGATCAGCTTTGGGCTTTTCTTTTTTTGGAATCATGTATTGACAGTATCCGTACCAAAATATCAATATTAAACAATGCTTCTCTAATCTTGTTAGTGGAACTTAAATCAAACTGAGTTGTGTTTTTACCGTATTCTTACAGGTTAGGATTACGGTACTGCCATTCCCAATCATTGTTTTTGTTGGAAAGATTCTCTCCATTTTCAGTCAACTTTTAACATTGCTTTATCGTTGAAGCGCTGCTTACATAGATTTTGACAATGTCAATCTTATATAGAATGTGACAAATAGAAAATAAATCTAGGTAGAGCAGCTTGAAGTCAGTTATTCTAGGTTCGGTTGGAACGAAACCTTATCATCGTCAATCGAATATTGGAGCCAGCGAGATGCTTCATTTGACTGTTTCATCGGTACAGAACTACTGGCAACAAATGGCGATGACAGTATTAAGAGGATATCGGTCTGTCTTAGCGCTTATTTCCTTTTGCATTCGAGAAACTCGGCTTTAAGCTTTTACCCGGTACCGTGCTCCCAGCAGGTCAGCGTCCATGCGTACGGTAGTGGGCGAAAGCTTAGAGTGTTGAATGTTTAAGCTACATATAAATCCTATGAGCTAATCCTATCCTTGTACAGTATCTGGGTTGAGACCTCTCAAACCCTCCCGTATAAAAAAACCCCAATAACCCAAATTATGCTATTTAAACCAACCTTGGACCAGGTTATCACCTTCTGAATGTCCTCAAGCGTATTGGTTACAGAGTATTATGGAACGAGGGGCAGCTTTTGTACTGCTGGAACCCGTTGTTAATGTGGATGAGCAGGCTATCCATAAGGTAAATTACTGGAAAATTTCTTAGATAGAATCAAACACAAAAATAAATCAGTGCTATATATTATAGCGAATGACCACATGTGGCTTCAAAAACATCTCTATCACTGATGTCACAAAAGAGTGCAGAGCTGCTGAATCGGCATTCTTCAGCGATCATAATTTGGTAAGTTTTTACTGCTTAGCAAACCACGCGCTGATTAATTTTATATTTCTTGAAAATCTTGAAAATCAATAAAAGCTTTTTTTAGCAACTGGACTCTTCTGACTGCTACTACGTGCTCATAAAAGCCTCACTTTAATCAGGTTAATAATGAAACGGCTAACCATTTGATGAATTTGAGATTTTCACGACTTGTAATGCTTCTTGTAACATTGATGATTTGTAAATTTTCTTCTGTTCACTTATAAAAATTTGTGACGGCATGAAATTTCAATAAAAACTGTACAACGACGTGGGCAACTAAATGTGTACGAGCATCGTGTGATGTTTCTTCAGCGTATGTGACTTTTTTGCCACAAACGAAACAATTTTCCTTAGTGACCTCTTTTATTTTTTCACTGCATCGCTGCTCGAAACTGTAGGATACGGTAAGAACTTTCACCATACAGAAGCATTATGATAGGGGGTAAGATAAAACTTTTTCAAAAAATGTGGAAGATTGTGTAACAGGTTTTCGCACATGCTGATTTCACACTCAACTTTTTACGAGTTTTGGGCTTTTTTTGAATGGTGTAAGTATTGGGTTGTTTCAAAAGTTCTACCCGTTTTCAATATGCCGATTTTGGAGGAAGAAACCACTTTTCATGAACATTGCTTATATCATTTAAAGCTCTTTTCTTCTAGTTTTTCAGGCATATTTTCGTTTACATAGAACTTTGTTCGCTGTGTGGTTGCGTACTTTGAAAAGACAGCGAAACAAATGTGAAAACGTTCGCCTTTGCTCTATTGCCGTGAAATCTACAGCCAAAAAAAATTTCTCTCAAAACATACATAATGTTTGCTGGAGACTTGTGCTACGAAACGCTCGTCGGGATATGATTTCAGAAAAATTTTGAACTTACAAAGTTTTAGCTCAAACATAACCTTGTCTTTATGGTCCCTTCAATTCGCATAAAAATCATAAACATATTGCAATCGCGGAACTTTTACTCCATATAGTAAGATTAGAGCTAAAACAACTGCTACTAGAAGAACGAAAGGATTTCATGGTTTGTCAACGGCGAACACGATTAAGAATATCAAAAAACTAGCTGACAGCCCCGGCCTCACCCGAGACTCCAAATTAGTTTAGCTAACAAAATATGTGATACGCTTCTAAACTTCTTCAAACATGCGCAAAAAGCGCTTTGAGACGACTTGCCGCATCCTCCCGTCTTTGGGATAGAAATGGACTCTACCGCCCGTGCGTATATGTTTATGGAAAAATGATCCGATCAAGGCGGTATGATGGCTGTGGGTACAATACAGTCTAGAATACATGTTGACTGATCATTCTTTCTCTACATTACTCCAGTTAGGCTTCCCCCATCGACTACGTGATCTCAAATTTGTTAGGATCGTCTGCCTGTTTACTACAGTTTTTTCCCAGTTGCTCTGGCATCAACGCGCACCATTCCATGTCTTGATTTCGCTTTCGATATAACACGCATTTTGGTAGATGCATGCTTGGCTAAGTTTATTATTGCTATAGTCAATGTTTTGGTCTTTGCTTCACAAACCAAATTCCAAAAAGTCAGTTTTCAAAAAAAAATTCTGCGATCGCTTCAGATGAATTTTTGAGTCTCCTTTTTTGCCTTCTATCAATTTTATATTTGGCTTTGAAACTCCCATTTGCAAAATGTTTCTCGGCTGTTACATCTACCATGTGTAAAGTAACTCTGTCGTATGTATCAAACTGCTTGATTATTAGCTCTAATCAATCAATCAATCTCTATCGTTTCCTGCAGGTATGCTTTCACAAAGATTTATTCTCTGTGATTTACAGAAACCTCAACTGAACTATCATAGACGCATATTATCCCATCTCGTTCACATTATATGAGCTTGAATTCATTTATTAGCGCCGTTTTAGCAGTTTATCGAAATGCCTTTTAAACTCAAGTTCATAGCAGTAACATTGGTCAATTCTACTGTTACCGAGCGACAGTTGGCTGCATATTAACATTATGAAAGTGTGCCGATTGAGCAGTATCAAATCCCGTTGGCCATTTACAGTTCAGTGTACAGAAATACAGCTCAACAAAGTTGTAACAATTGCAACAGTAATTGTAGATATCATTTTCTCATTAAGTTTTCGGTTTTTCGACCATCAGTTATTTCGTATGGTGTAATGAGATTTTGGGCCACTTCGGGTCAAAACTAAAGGGAGCAGGTCAGGCTAGAGAAGCTTAGGAAGAAATGGGGAAGTGGAGAGTTCTAGAAATACATCTTGAACGAAAAAAATCGACGTTTCCAAAAAAAATTCTAGGAGAGAAAGAGAGTGATTTGAGAATTGGTCTTCCAATAGCGAAAACAATCCGAATTGTCTGCTGTAAAGGCATAGTACAGGCCACGCCGCTAACTTTCTGACTGAACACCGGAATCAAATTTGGGAAGAGATATGCCTGAAAATTGGCTATCTTAAAGCACGCGTGAAATTTTCTGCGCATTGTGAAATGTATCCTGTATGCCCCAGAAAAGTTCCCATGTGAACCAGCGTGCGTACGTGGTGCAACGCTGCCTTTCGCTCTTTTTGACACGTTTTGAAATTTCAACGGAACTACCCGAGGTTAACTTGTTCAAAAGAGCGAAAGGCAGTGAGATGACGTGGTACCTTTGGGAATCTAGCTGAGGAACAAACGATACATGTCATTCACAAGTACAGGTCATTTTTAGAATCCCGAGACGGACTTGACTGCGGTCTTTGCGCCCACAAGAGATAAAACACTCATACAAAAAAGGTATCAGTCCAACTTTCAGCTCAGTCACTTCCAGTATCTAGATGTTATCATACGTAAGTAGAAAAAAATTCAAATAAAGATCAAAACCAAAAAAAAAATACGTTCGTCTGAAGTGCGTAGGTGTTGCACTCGCGCCATTGTCACGATTTTGCAAATGCCCTATAACTCAACTTCATATCACCTTCCCTCAATCATTTGGCAGGTTTCGACGATTCCGGCGGGTTCAGGCGGGTTCGGATGGATACCGGCGCGTACGGTGCGGTCTGAACGATGCCAAACCTGGGAGATGACTTCGAAAACAGTCTGTCTTTTTTGAAAATAGAGGCTAAGAGGAGGTTTAATGTAGTCCTCAATGTGAAGAACATCACCACAGGTGAACTCACAGGAGTGCGGTTGGCTTTTGAACGTCTGAAGGGACCTGTACATTGAAGGAAACTCTGTGTGTGAAATTTTGGAGAGCACTAAAATTTGTGAAGAGATGAAGATATTTTGAACGAGAAACTTCAAAATAACGCTTTGCGATAAAGCCTACTTGGGAGGGAGGCAAGCCCAAAAGCTACGGGCTAGATCGAAAAGTGTGGAGAAATATTTACGTTGTCTGGGGAAAGCTTCAGAGTAGAAAACAAGCTTGACAGAAGATTTTATTGAAAACTCACAATTACTCCCATTCATTTCCTACTCTTCAGTACAAAAGGAAAGCGATTAAGAGGTGGGGGAGGGAGAAGTTTGGCTTAAAACTTTAGGTGTGATGGAAAAGCCGCACACATGAATATGACGAATTTTTGGTGTCTGTGGAGAGTAGGGGGAGGGTAGTATGGGACGAAGAAAAGAAGCCCGTAGAGAGCAGATGAGCTCCTACTAGAACATCTACCAAAAAGACTTCGCGCATCAGCAACATTGTGGGCTTTGATTAGGGTGGCACTGCATGAGGCTGTTGACTGAAAGAGTGTTTGAGTTCTTTTTAGGACGTTATGCGTAAAACTAATTTAATATTAATCAGGGTTGTCTACATAAAGCTATGCATACCTGGAAGATTGATGCTATACTTTTGCCTATGAAAAGTTCTGACTTTTATATACATCCCACTTCATACACACAGCCAGTCCAAAGCGCCGCGAAGCGGCGCTTTGGACTGGTATATATATATCATAGATTGCATTTCTTGCCGCCTCAGAAAGAGAAAATAAGTGGGTCCTTTCGGATTTTCCAGCACAAAATTTTTATGAAAGAGTTTGATGATGGGCTTCATTGTGAGGAGTGCTTGTGCAATTCAGCTATATTCCAAATCAAGTTATGCTTTTGCAAAGTGAAGGTTTCTAGAGGAGATGTTCCTCAATTTTCGCCTATAAAATCTTCTCCATTGTTACTGCAATAATCTTAAAGAATGCGCAGAATAGCCAATGATTTGCAGATTGTAATACAGTTTATAGCAATTGCAAAGATTATTTCTGAGTTACGGTGAATCAAAGTCAAAGTTCGAAAACGGATAGAACTTCTGAAACAACCCAATACATTTCTGGCGATCATCAAAAAGCATTTGCTAAAGTTTAACTGGTATAACTCAGGAAAGAGCTATCACAGCGGGGTACAAACTTCATTCAAATTCAGCGATTTTGATTAGCTTGATGTAAGGTTTTGGCTTGTTTGCTGTTCTTTTCGAGGCAAAATCTGGCTGTTAGTGGCCAAAAATCTTCATCAAAGTGCCTAACGTAATCTTTCAGTAGAAGACTGAAGTGGAATTTGCCCCCCACTGTGAATCTAAGTTAAAGCCTGTACTGATTGGTACCTAAAGATCGGCAAAAACATTAGTGCAATAGGATTACTAACGACCAACAGTATGCACATTTTTGGGACCCTGTATATTGTTTGCAGGGGAACTGGTGCTACTTAAAGGCAGCGTCCCACCAGACTGGGGGTACCTGGCTCTCTTAATGATGTAATAGTAGACCCCTTACCTAAGCGATGACTGAAGTTTGGAGCGAAAAAGGGGGTCTACCAAGCCTGATATTTGCTCCGAAAGTGGGCCGAATCTTACGGTAGGCTCGGGCGAGTGCGAAGTGCATGCAAGGTAGAGACACAGAGTCGTTGCGGGTCCCTGCGCTCATGATGTGTGCGCTATACGCACTCTGGCCCTGCAAATCGATATTGCCGTGTGGGCGGCGTCCGGACCTACCGTAAGATTCGGCCCACTTTCGGAGCAAATTTCAGGCTTGGTAGACCCCCTTTTTCGCTCCAAACTTCAGTCATCGCTTAGGTAGGTGGTCTACTATCACATCATTACGAGAGCCAGATACCTCCAGTCTGTTGGGACACTGCCAATGCTTAACAGAATATAATCCTCAAAAACTTTTGAACTTAGAAATTTTCGTCATAAACATGACCCGTCGGTAGCACTTATCATTCGCATAAAGATTATGAGCGCTATGCGACTAGGCCACATCCGCTCTATAAACAAGAACGGGTCACTTTTATGTTAAAGAAC